TTTAATTGAAATTATTTCTAATAAACTTTGTTATATCAAATAAGATTTAATGTATACAAAATTTTTTCTTTAATTAATTTTGCATTTATATTTACTCGCCAATCGTAATTTTTTAAATATCTTTTTAATTATATATAAACATGTCTATAATCAATTATTATTGGAGATCCTTTCCGGTAAATTAAATCCAACTTTTAATGGAACTTTCAATGGGGCATTTGGCAAACTGCTTTATAAAGAAAAGTAGGCGAAACTTCGTTATTTCCCAGATGAGTATGGTTAAAGGGATCGTCAAAGCCGTAGTGATGTCCATTTTGAAATTGGACACTAGGGTGTCGTGTACGATAGCAAACTTCTGTAATTCCGAATCTGACAATAACACTTGTTTCTAGGGATGCAATAACACAAATTATTACTCCATCGTGAAACATAGCCGCATCATTGCCCATTATTCGTCTGTGAGAGATAAGAAATGATCTGAAATATCATAAATTGTCTTGGAAAATATATCAAATCCATTTCATTTATTCCGTAATCATTTTGTTATTTCATGTAATGATTCTTTTTGAGTTATTATCGTGAATGACTAAGTAAATATTACCCTCTCAAAAGTAAACTTAACTTTATAAAAAAATCATTACAATTCAAAAAAGGTGTTTTTAAGGATTGTGAAATAAAAAAACATTTGATCATGTGTCAAGAATATATTTTTTCTGCTGATATTATTTAATTAATCAATAATTTTCTATCGAGATAAAAATAGTGTTTTCTCTTTTCTAGGAAATTTAATTTGTTGAATTGTGTTATGTTTTAGTGTTAAGTAAGAGAGATATATAACCCGTTAAGCAAATAGACACATTAAACAATGAAAAATTGCATACACAAGTTTTCGACAAATATTCTCTTTTAATTTTATTGTATCTTTAATTGTATTTTATTGATTTACTTTATTTTATTTTGATTTATTTATGATTGTATTATATTTAAAGATCTTTTTAATTCAGGCAATGACATTGCCATAGTTGATTTTATCCTCGGATTTACATAGGTTGATGCCATTCTGTGGGATGTGTGGTTCAATTTATTCGCGGACTTTATTGCTTCTGTTCAACCTCGGCTGCTTTTATTCCCTCTTTCGTCAGCATGAAAGTGTTTATTTGCGGAAGTTCATCAATACGAATGAAACCGTAGAGCGAGCGAATAATTTCTCTCCGCGGTTCGCGGTTCGTTGCGAGTTTCGTTCCCATTATGTTACGCTCACTCGAAGTTTATTAACGCAGCTAATGTAGATAGAATTACACGAGCTTCTCAATTACAAATTGCACAATACGGAAATAAGTTAATAACAAAAAAAAACGTTTTGATTATTCAACTGAAATACATAAAATTATTAAACTAAAATGCATTGGAAATTTTAGGACTGATAACAATAAGACCATAATACTTGCAATAACGTTCATACACGAAAAGAAGAAAAAAAGAAGAAAAATTTAACTAAATATAAGTTTGAAAATAATTTTGTTGGACTATCAAAATAATTATATAGGGTGAAACTAATTGCTGGAATGTCAAAACTTTCTGCAGTATTATTCATCATGTTTGAGTTTTCTACATAATTATAATATTTTGATAGATCCAACAAAATTATGTTCGAATTTATATTTAGTTAAATTTTAACAATCTATTTTCAGTTTAACAATATATTTTCAGATTTGTATCAACTTAGATTTTTAGATACTTCTAGCAAAATTATTTTTTCCGCGTATTAGCGAAATAAAATATTTTTTCCTAAGTAATCAACAAATGTATCTTGTAGATAATAATTCTCATACATTTCAAAGAGTTATTTACTTTCGAAGTTTACGAGAGATATTAAAAAATAAATCAATAAAGTTCCACAGTATGGCGACGCCATAATAATACTCTATCTAGTAAAGACAAAGTTTCGCGGATGTTACTACCTTAAATCTCCACCAAGTTAAAAATCACTGACAAAGATTTCCGTGTAGAGCTCCATGGGACGTAGAAAGAAGAAATGGAAAAACGACTATAGATCTCCCTTATGAGTTCTGCTGTCGCGGTACATAAATCAGGAGCGTCGACTCGCAACCCCGCAAGAATTTATCGAGTCTAAACACCCACGTAATGCAATCTCCTCGCTGCTTTTGTTGTCAAGACATAAATATACTAAAATAATAAAACAACCAGTTTTTTAATGCCGCACACGATATTCTAGGCGCGATATTCTTAATCCGCTAATCCGTTGATTGGATTTGTAATGGAAAAAGCACACACGTTGTGAACATGTCTCTATCTCGATTTATTGAACAACGAAGAGTTTTTTCGAAGTTGTAATAATTCGTTCGTCTGTGATTGATTCTCGACATTTATAAAGCGCGACATAAAATATCCGTGGAAAACATATTTTTTATTTTTATAAAAAAATGAATCTCGAAATCAGACGGCAGCACTTAACGCTGAATGCAACACTAAATCAAGCGCAAACGCATGGCGCAATAATGAAACAAACAAAATTGTTTAACCGTTTTGTTATATACGTGTTATCGCCGTGCATCATGCTAAATATAAGCGTATTCAATCGAGAACGAAGCAGAAATTGAAATGGCAAACGTTTAATCGCTTGCTCGCAGTAAAGCATGCGAATTTATTCAGATTGGAGCATTGCTATGCAAAAATAGTCTAAATTGTATAATCAAAGTTAAACTCCGCAACAAAATTACGAACTACTAAACTCCTTTAATACGGCCCATTGAAATAGCGAACTCGTTGAAATAGTCGCACGATCGAGGGAAATAAATTTATAAAAATGTCACTTTAATTAATAAATATATTAAATGTCGCTACTTCTGAATAGTCAATCAAAACTTTTTCGTGAAGCAGAAATCCCTCGAATTTCAAGCGTTTGGTGAGCGTTTTACACGCTCGCCAAATTATTTGTCACTGTTGTTTCGTGTATGCGATCGTATCGTGCCGGATATTTCAGAACCGGAAAGGTCACATACAAAATAAAAAGTTGACATTTTTTTTTCCATTGGATTTCTGGCTCACGCATGCGCGAGGGCGCGAGAGGGTTGATTTCTAATGCCGTAACGCGGCAAAGGATGCACGATAGATCTCCCTTTACGACCAACGTCACAGTGCATAAATCAATGGTAACGCAGTTGAACACGGCATGGATTTATCGAGCGCGTCTTTCCCCGTGTGTAATGATAAATTATGACGATCGAATGACGGCGGGTCTCGAGGCGACAAGAGGGGTGATGATACACGTGTGTGCACAGGGTGACGTGTAATATGGGGTGCTACGCCATTTTCGAGGAGAGTATATCGACGGCGAGCGGCACACGCTGTTATTATATGCTCGTCGTCGTTTGCTCGCCAGCCACCAATACGGACTTTCCGTATAATGGCGTCATCCCCGAGACTAGTAACGAGGGTCTCTCCTGCTGCGTTACGTAAACATAAGCTTGCGAGGACAGTACCTCTATGATAATGCAGCTTCCTGGAATGTTGATACGTACGCTAAATCCAAGTGGCTCGAAGTCAAGCGAATTAAAATGGATTTGCAGAAACTCATTTTATTTTTATCCCACGAAATTTTTGTCTAATTGTTATATTTTTAAATTAAATATATAGAGAAAGAATAGTTTTTTTGAAGTGTCAAAAAATTTAATTAGATACGAATCTGAAACTGATTTGGGACCATTAAAATAATTAGACGTAGAAATGTCTAAATTTAATTGTATAATACTAGGCATTATCTATTAATACTAGACATGCTTGAGCGACCTACATAATTATTTTGATGATCCAAAAAATTATCTTTAGATCTGTATCTATAAGTTAATTTTTTAGATATTTCAGCAAAACGTTCCGTATAGAGAAATCATACAAAAAAATAATATAATTACCTGATGGTTTGTTCCTTCTACATATTGATAAAAAATCAATGACGTATTTCTATTAGTAATTTTCCAACCGGTAATTAGACAATCTAAATTTAATTAGAGGGAAAGCGAGAGAGAGAGAGAGAAAAAAACTCTCTAATCGTAGCATACAAATTAACATTACTGTGAACGTGGGTGGCAGTTATGACGGCAGTTCATCTAGAGTACGTAGAGTTTTGGTACAAGTTACTGGCACAGACTGACTTTTACGCAGTATCAGATGCGAGAGAGAACTGTATAAATTACATTAATTAACACATTGACGTGTACTTTATAACTTTGCCATTATACTCGCCCCAAGCAACATGAAAACCGCACTTGTATTATACATTCGACGAGCACCGCCAGTAAATTGGTGGTCTTACGTTAATGCACTAATCACGAAAGGTTAATGAGATTACATATAAATCCACCGCTGCATAATCTGTGTAACTTTCAAAACAACAAAGGGAGGAAAGCTGCTTAACCTTAGATTACTATCTTTAATTTTTGCTTATATCGTTATTCTAATGAGTCTGCGAAATCCAGAACATTTTTATTTGTTCATATCTCAGGAAAGTAAAATAGTTTTATTTCTTTTTTTTTCGAAACACAAAGACTGTTTAAGCGAACTACGTAAGTTTTATTTTTTAATTTATAAATAGAATAAAATTATAAAGTTTTAAAATGCAAAGGAGAATTTTTAAAAGAGAAATATCAGCCTTTTACTGCGTCTCTCGTGGTAATAATGTAAAGTTAAGATGACAGCCAACTGACTCATAGAAAATTATTTTATCCACAGAGTAGAATTTTTTTTTATTTTATTATTAGTTTCTTTTGAACGTTGAATGTACTTTTGAACATTAAATGTAATTAATCGGCGACATATTTGAAATTTTAATTGCTTTACCAATGAAATCCAATATCCGATCGACTGACGATATCGAGTTGAAAAGTTTCGATATGGGACCGAATGTTGAAGACCGCCGCGCGTTCAATAACTGTTTCCGCTAGTTTTTTATGAGAACGTTTCGTGTAATATGTCAATTTCAGATACGTCCACGGCAAACGCACACTCGGTGAAGAACCACTCGCGAAAATGAGCGCGGCCGTAGAAAACGGCGTGGACGCCTCGAAGCCGCGCGGCGGCGTTTTCTCGAGGGCGTTCGCCAAACGTGCGCAACCCTACGAGGAAGGTGAGTTTGACGACAGCTCTCTGGTCACTCTCGGACAGGTTGTGGTGTTACACACGAGATTTCCCCTCCATGGTGCTTGGGAAGATAAACATCGTGCTATAGGTTTCAAGCCTGGCGTCCGCCATGCTTGAAGTTTCCGCCGGAAATTCAAGGCACTTAGGGGCTTATCTTGGAAATTGCGTCAATCAAACTCGCAGGCAAAATACACACGGCATTCCGCGTTCCGATGTATCATATAATTACGGTTATTAATTACACGTTAATTATTTGTTTAAGTGTGTTGCGTATGTTGCCGCTTTTAGCACGATGTTCCGTCTTTGTAACGGTCTTGGGTCACATAGTTTGATAATGCTTTGTAACATCTCACACATACACATTCATATATAAATATATATATGTATATATGTATATGTAATGCATCACATCCTATTATGACTTTTATTACGATGTACATATCGCTCATGTCTACTTCAATCTGCACTACATGTATCCTCGCGGCAAGCTCGCGATATGTTTCCAGCGGGCAATAAACCATAATGAATCTCGCTTTCACTGAATGGAACATCAACGTAACAAACTATACATCGGATTATTTCTTGTAGCAGTCTACCTCTATATTTCTAATTGAGATAACATATATGTCGATATAAAGAAAAAAAGGATAGAAATAGATAATTCTTTGTGCTAGAGAGCTTTAAGACTTTCCCAATTTACAATGGCGATAATAACGTAATATTTCATTTTATCTGTTTTTTCTCTCTTAGTATTTAAGTGACAGATTTGTAACTTACGTAAAATGAACGATCTTCCGTTTTACGAGGCGGAATAGTCTACATTTATAAAGGATCACCCCGACGACTCTCGGGGGCTCTTGCAGATGCGCCGATTCCGCTGTAACTCGAAGCTGCTTCGTAGAATTCTGCTCTAATTGAAGAGAGAGAGAGAATATTTGCCCCGCTTACACTTCGCTTGTAATTCAAAACATCGCTAATCCATTAATCCTGTTTCCAGCGCGCCGTGTACGCGCCGCTGTACGGAAGTCATACCGGTAAACTATGCGCTCTGCCGGATATATATATTAAGCACAAGGTAATTCTGGTACCTGTGTCTCGAGGATTACGAGGAACTCATTGCGTTACGTCGCAACACATTAAGACGCGCACCGTGCAATTGGAACGTTCCTGCGCTGAACGTAGTTATTAAAATTTTCGTATGCTATTTTAACTCTCTAATGATAGGAACGGGAGCCCATTTTAAACAAAAAGAAAATTAACAAAATACTTATAGTATTTGTTTATTATTTTGACATTAAGGCAATAAGTTAAAGATTTTTTTATAAGTATTATACTGTTTTTTATTGTTAACTTTTCTCTTAATGGATGAGTTTGGCTATTATACTGAATTGCGCAATATTTTTCTAATATTATGTTTTATAATAATTATTTTTCATTTATTAGGTGCGCAACTAAGTTCTCGCTGTTATTTTGATGGCATTTTCATCAAAATAACAGCGAGAACTTAGTTGCGCACCTAATATAATTAAACGGAGAAAGAAGTTTTATATTATTATTATTTGCTTTTTTTACTCACTTTATACATAAATTAGAAAAACGAATGAAAGAGAGCATCGGATCAAATCCGACACCACTTTCCTGAATACTCTGAATACTTCTGAAAATTACGGTACCGTTAGAATCAGGCGTGTCCAAAACTTAACTCGCGAGCTAAATGTTTCCTTCTTCATCATCGTCGAGCAAGATAAAGAAAACAAAAAGAATAGACGCTAGTACTCTGCCCAGTGACTAGCTGTTCCAGCATTTATCCTTTTTCGTTTTCTCTCTATCTCGCTCAACGAGATGATGGAGAGGTAAGTTTAATGGGTTTAACTGAGAGCTAAGTTTTGGACACGCCTGTGAGAATTAACGATCGGACTATTCTGGACGTCAACGCAATAGTATTAAAAAAATTTTAATTTTACAACCAGAGGGATGGATTTGTCGATACAAGTCAGCTTGTCAATTCAACTCATTACTTTCCTAATAAGATTTATGCTATTTTGCGATCTTGCGATTTAACTTTCATTGCTTGTCATGCCAGTCTTTCATTTTATCTGACGTCGAGAAAGTTGGAATTACAAGACGTGACAGATAGCAGATCCAAAAGGTCGTAACGCACACGTCTCGGTTGTCCCGGAAGTCGAAACGATACGTGTCGCGGTTATGATTTGCGACCGCCGCGCCGCATTTTAAATGCGCACGCGACGCGAAATCTTAGCTTGGTATAATACATTATGTAAATACGCCGATGTGACCGTTGCATTTTACTTCCATCCGATATCAGCGGTGTCCACCACGAGTATTTGATTCTAATACAGAGTACTGGGAGATGTTAAACCGATGTCATTCATCGTAAAACCCTTTATCAAACCTCCACAAACGGAGTTCTATCGAGTATCGCTTTATCTGTGCCGAAGGCCATAAAGGGATTCCTGTTTCGCATTAGCCGGCCGTGCGACCTCGATAGTTCCGAGTTGGTGTAAAAGCTCATAAAGAATCTCACTTCCGACACAGGGAGGTGCATAATATCGGTGCGCGCCGTATATCAGTAGATATATTCCCGCAACCCCCGCTGTGCCGAGGAAACGACGGAGGCGTATCTACTCTTCTCTCCGTGTTTACCGTAGACCTATATATCCTCGACCTGGAAGAGCCATCCAGGATCACATGGGTTCGCCGTGCACTCTGACATGTATACCGGTGCAAACCGAGGCTGTAGGTGTGTCGAGGCAAAACGCTACAACGCCAAGCCTATCGACATCGCGCGGAATATTTTAACGCGATCGCCTACTTTCGCGAGGGCACGTTTTTACCTTGCATTACACGCGAGATTTATCGTTTCGGTGGCTGGTGTCAACGAGTTGATTTATTCTGCATTCTCCGATTTCGTGAATTTGAGAAATTTAAGAAATAAACCAAATCATTATGATTTAACAATTTATGATTTAATGATTCGAGATGAACTGAATATTTAAAATTTCTTAAACCTGATGATTTAACGCACAAAATATTTTTTTTTACAAAAGCTGATTTTTTTTTCGAAAATATTGGATATTAAATATTTTAAATCAGTTATTAAATATTTCTAATTCAGATATAAATATTTTTACATTCGAAACGTCTAATCTTTATAATATATTATTTCTAATAACATATACTAATAACAGCGTTGGCTTACGTTGGCAATTTATTTTCTTTTGATTTATTCTTGTTAGAGTAATAATTCTTGTGTCTTGTAATTTTTAAATTTATTATTCTTTTTTAAATAAATACAGTAATTAGTTTTTCTAATCTGCGTTTAAGGAAATTTGACGTAAATTTTTTACGTGAAATTACTCTGCAAAAAGCGTGCTAGGAATAATTATGATTAATCTTTAATACGGAAGTATACAGCTGTTTAATCGCGAATCTCCGTCACGAAGCTCCTACCGAGCGTTCTTCTTTTAGGGTAGTAATGATCGTGCGAGATTATTCGGTAAGGACGTTCCTGATGTGAGAGCTTCCTGCTGTGTTTGAAGAACCGCTACAATCTTAAGATCACAGTCCGTGAAGGAAA